TCACACAGGTCACAAAGAGCAGGCCTCACACAGGTCACACAGAGCGCAGGCCTCACACAGGTCACACAGAGAGCAGGCCTCACACAGGTCACACAGAGCGCAGGCCTCACACAGGTCACACAGAGCAGGCCTCACATGCAACTTGACCAAAGCACAAGTTTAATGGCATCTTATCCTTTTTGCTACTTTGGACCACATGGCACACCTGAACATTGCCACTGATTGGCCGAGTCGTCAGGAAAGGCTCAAGCCCCCTCGTACAAGGATGTTGCACGACAGCAGGAGCCTGGAATGAACCTAAAATATTGTTGTAACCCGTGTCACTAAGGACCACTGAGCTGAAAGGCATCCGCAGAAAAGCTTGTCACACTTTCGATACACACAAGTGAACAAGGCTTCTTTTTAGGGGTCTTAGCCAGCAGGCTGCTGCTCCTTAATCTGATGTAGACAGTGAGGGGCCTGACTGCAGAGAGATAAAGGCCCCCACCCCCCAACAACAACACCTGTGAGTCACTCGCCATCCCTTTATTAGCACATCTGGATTTCTTAATGGCATCCAGCTGCAGACAAACTGGGATGTTACGAGCAAGACTGCGCGGTTGCACACACAGACAGGAAAGGGGACATGGGTGCAGATATGAACGCGCACACGCACACACACGCACACACACGCACGCGCACGCACACGCACGCACACACATACTCATATGTTTGTGGGGACTCTCCATTCATTTCTATGGGAAAAACCTTAATCTTAACAATGAGAACCTTAACCCCCTACCCAGCCCTAACCTTAATCATAAGTAACCAAACAAAATAGAAGACTCTGGGCATTTTTAGTTTCTTGATTGCAGTCACGGACTTTTTATAAAATTGATTTTCCCCTTTTGGGGACTGAAAATTGGTCCCTACAATGTCAAAATAACAGGATTCTATCACATTATGGGGACATTTGGTTCCCACAATGTAATGTGTATCTGACCCACACACACACACATCACACACATGAACGTACGCATCCCTTATGCCAGCGGTGGCCAATCTTATCCGCAAAGGGCCGGTGTGTGTGCAGGTTTTTGGGGTAACCTTTAGGTCAGCTGGACAAACCCAGGTGTGAGGACTCTTCAGCCAATCAGTCCTCTAATTAGTAATCTAATTACGGAGTTGCAGCGAAAACCCGCCACACAAACCAGCCCTTTGCAGATAAGATTGGCCACCCCTGCCTTATGCCATTTGTGCTTAAGGACATGTAAGTGACATGTTATAAGGTGTCTAAACAGGCAAGCCTGCTAGCTGCTCGGACCACTGTGAGAAGACAGCACCTAAGCACAGAGAAGCAGTAGGACAAAACCACATCCAAACGACAGCAAGTAAATAAGGCGTCGTAAAAAAAGGCCAGATCCAAAAGATAAATGCGTCTAGTAGAGGAATTCGAATGTCTGCCATTAAAAAAAAACATCTGATGAATCATTAAAAAAAATGCCTTTTTTGGGAATGAAGTTCAGGGGGGAGGGTTTTATATAGTCAATTATGTTTTTATTTAAAAAATGACAAGGAGCTGCGCAGGCTGTCATGTTATTATTCTCATG